ACTGGACACAACGCTCGTACATGCGCAGTTAAGATAGATAGTGTAAGTGATAGTAGTAATTCTAATAATTAATTTGGTATATTGCAATAGTTTATTAACTATGATAAAAGACTGTGATAATGTGTTGACGTTGACGCGATGGTGGGACGTGAGCCATTCGCTTGGGTGAGCCATTCGCTTGTGAACCAAGTTATAGTATATCCTGGTCTTTCCCCACGCGCAAAAAAGTAATTATCAAAACGAAACCAATCAACCCATTCACAAACTCCACATGAACAACAAGTACATTCCATACTTCAATAAACACTAATAAATATTCTTATAACATGTATTTCACTTATGCTACCATCTCTTCATTGATTTTTTTTTCTGTTCCCCTAAACCTCCGTCTCTAAATAATGGTTCTTGTAGCCACCACCACAAAACCACATCCCGCTGAAACCCGCCAAAAAAGAAACCGAAACCAGGATATCAGAGAGAAAAGAAGCATCCCAACCTTTCTGAGACGCTTTTTTGGAGTGTAGATGTGTTCATGTTTCGTAAAACCCTATGCTGAAAAAGGATGCTAGACGCCCTTGTTGAGAAACAGAAACACCTTCGCACTCTATATGCCCGGGTGGTATGCGCAATATACAAAGAAAGTACACAGTATTAAAAAGTGTAGAGTTTGGTCGTGTCCGATTGGGTATCGCGTTTACATGATGATCGAAGGAGCTGGGCAATGTTAGTTGGTGTACCGACTAAATGAATAAAACATGGAAAACTTACTGTCGACGTTCTGCTTGATCGACTTGTGCGGCAGTACGGAACCACCGTTGACGTAGACCTCGTCGCCAATCGAGACATCGTCACCAAGAACAGTAACGTTCTCTAGACGTGCCCACTTGCCAACGGTGCTGTTCCAGCCGACAATGGTCGACTTGACCCAGGCGTGGTCCTTGACACGGCTGTTCTTGAGAAGTACGCATCGTTGCAGACGCACACCGTCGCCAATAACAACATCGGGTCCAATGGTGACGTTGGGTCCGATGCGGCAGTTCTTGCCAATCTTGGCTGAAGGGTCAATCAGGACGTTTCCGCCGTAGACGTAAGGCTCGGATGCTGGTGTGAGCAGCTTGGAGTTCTTGCGAGCAAGCGACGAAAGGTAGAGGCAGGTACCGGACAAGAAGTCCTTGGGCTGTCCAACATCCATCCAGAAACCCTCGAGGTCAAAGGAGTGGAGCAGACCATCCTTGACAATAGCAGGGAAAGTCTCCTGCTCGATCGATGTAGGGCGGAGCTCAATGCGCTTGAGTACGCTGGTGTTCAAAATGTAAATACCGGCGTTGATGCGGTTGCCGACGAACTCGACGGGCTTCTCGACGAAACGGTCAATCTTGGAGGCATGGCCAGGCTTGTGTACAACGACACCGTACTTGGACGGCTCCTCCACCTTGGTTACGACTATGGTACCCTCATCACCGTGGTTCTTGTGGAATTCGGCGAGCTGCTTGAAGGGGTAGTCGCAGGTGACATCGGCGTTGAGGACGAAGAAGGGCGAGTCGTCCTTGCCCAGGACGTTCTCGGCGAGCTTGAGGGGACCGGCGGTGCCGAGGGGCTCGGTCTCGACGGAAAACGTAATGCTGACGTTGTACTGCTTCTCGTACTGCGGAGACGGTTATTGGAATGTTCTTGCATGATCGTGGGAGGCATCTACTAACGGTCTTGAGGGCCTCGGCCATGATCTCCGGGCGGTAGTTAACAGCAAGGACAACATCGGTGACACCAGCGGCAGCAAGGGCCTCAATCTGGTGCTGGATCATGGGCTTGTTGGCGAACTCGACGAGCGGCTTGGGGTAGGTGAGGGTCTGCAATTGGGCGTCAGCTTTGCGTCTCATTGCTTTTGCCAACGCGGGGCTCGCAAAGGCGGAGGAGGTGCGGAGAGACATACCAGAGGCCTCAGACGGGTTCCAAACCCTCCGACGAGAATGATGGCTGCATCTGCTGTTAGCTATGCGTGGGTGGAGCACAATTGAGAGTGCATACCTTTCATATTGGCGGTGGTGTTGTGAAGGGGTTGTGAAGGGGCGGTAGTCAGGGATTAGGCGGCGGTGGAGATGTTGTGAAGGCTAGCAATGGGGTGCTTCCAAGCACTAGAAGCGAAAGGCAGGTTTGCAAAGGGGAGGACAGAAGCGGATGCGTAAGTAGGTCAAAGCCAGAGAGCTCGGTGTGTGATGAGGCCAGCTGGATGTTATATGGTCTGGTACTGCGTCCACATTTAGCGGAGCTAAGCTGCTCCCTGGCCTCTTCCGAGCTTCTAGCGTCCAGCTTCCCCTTTCTTCACCCACCGCATTTGTAGCCCGTTGGCCGCTACGCTCGTCAATTGTCCCCTAACGGCACCGGCCCCTGCAGAATTCGGGGCCCAGATGCGACCGTCCCTGATCACTCAGCCTATCCGCTTCTAATTGCAGCACAGGGTCACAGTGCTCTGCGGGTAACGTCGTATACCACCGCCAATTGCTGCCAACGGCGCATCACGAGACGGCAGCTGAGCAGGTACCAATCACCTCAACTGCGGTCATGCTGCTCGCAATTCCCAAGTCCTGTTCCTTGTACCGCGCTTCTCCCCTGAAAATGTCCCACGTGCCTCTATGCTGTGAAATTGGAGGCGTTGAAGGAACAGAATCTTTTGATCACGCCCGGTCCACGCAGTCGGAAGCGATCCGCGCCCCTGGTTTGAGACGGGTTGTGGCTGACGACTGTGGCGGGTGACAGGCCAATCACAGGCCACTCCCGAGCCGGTGACGGCCGCCCGTCGCCTTGTCACTGTGGCTGACAAGTACGCATGATCAGTGTGTAGGGAGTACGAGGGCGCATACCCACGGCCCTTCTACTACTGACTAGCGGCCCCCCTTCCTCACATCTCACGATAGCCCTCGAAAGGGACTCACGCCTTATGCGACGCGCGTCTTACTGTACATCTGTGGCGAGACAAGCACCCCATCATGTCTTCACGCTACATGCTGACACCGCTGCAAATAAAGCTTATAATGCGGTCAAGCAACGCTCCATATATTTAGCAATTCATGTGCCGACGCCTCTGTACTTTAGCATCCAAGTACATGCCGCCACATTGACCATTACGAACCATGGGCATGGGAGACCCGGTATCACGACCGGTGTGCTCCGCGTCTACCAAATGGCGGTGCCAAGCCGCAGACCCTGGCAAAGTTTACCCAAAGAATCTACCGTCTTACAAGTCCCTTCGCCTGCAGCTTTCTTCGTGCCAACAACAGGCTGATTTGAGTCAATTAACATCAAACTGCGAGTATATTATACATGTTCTAGTACAACAAGAGACAGCATACGCCGAGTCTAAACACGCTATACTTCACGACATCACACATGCGATACCGTTCATCAACTCTTTCGTCGAAAGCTCATCGACCGCAGGGCATTACCAACGCTACTTCCCCGTTTGAACATGCTGGGCCTCCTTGCGGGACCTCCACTGGGGCTCTGTTCACCCTGACCTTGACGAGGTGACCAGGTCGAGCTTTTGCTACCCGGTGATGACCCAGGCGTACTTGCAGGAGTCCTTGTGGCGTCGCCAAAAAGGAACTCCTTGGCAAAGATCCAATTCCCACGCTCATACCTCCACAGATCCAACCCCACGGCCTGCCCCTCCTGATTGCGCTCAGACAGCTCCTGTCGGATAGTGGAAAAAGCACCGTCAACCTTGTGCTCATCGTCCACCTTGTTCATGACAGTCCAGTGCGGCCGGAACCCGCCAGCATCCTGCTCACTCAAAAAGGCTGCCCACTGCGACTGCAAATCAGCGTGCACGTGCTTCATCGCCTGGTACCCCTCGTCAACATTGATGCCCACGCCTTTGCGCATGCGGAACGGCTTGCCAGACGAGACGGTGAAGGGCTTTACACTGCTTGCTACCTGCGCTAGCCCCTGTTCTAGCGTCTCCATCTTGGATTCAGGCAGCGCATGAAAAAGCGTCAAGTGCGCACCCGTGCGATTCAGGTGCTTGGGAAAATACCGATTCCGCATCTCTTCCATGGACTCTGCAAGCTCATCCGTCACCTTGAGCGTAAGCACGTAGACATTTTCTTCCTCGTTTCCAGAGTTGGGCCTATGCTCTGCCCGAGGGTACTGGCCTGACGGTCGGCTGTCTTCGACGATATAAGGCTGGTAATCACTTTTCTGATGGTACTGCTGCTGTTGCGAAGCTTTCGGACTCGTCTTGCTTTCCTTCTTGGTTGCCCACCCCCGGAAACTCGTCTTTGCCCTGACCCCTGCTCCAGGCCGCTGCGGCTTCTGCTTCTCCTGCTCGGCTCCGTGTGTCGTTATTGCCGATGCTTCAAACGATGCTCGCATGTCAGGGTCAGAGCAGGCACGGGCTTGGATTGTTGGTTGCCGCAGTGCCCCGTTGGGTATGCTGACGGCTGCCGCATATGTGACTGCCATATTGCTCAGGCGTTGTGTAGACGTGTGTAGATGTAATGGTAGAGGTATGCTCGGAACGGTGGCTGCTGACTGGAAGAAAAACGATTGACCGAGCTGCCGAAAGACAGCTATCTGCATCGATGAAAAGAAGGATAGGGTTAAAGCGAAAAGTGATAGCAAGGCTGGTGCTGGTTTCGTTGCTTCTTGTGGTCTTGACCCCCTGTTGGGGGGTCGTTCAGTAACGGAACATCGGAAGATCCATACGTCACTGAGCGGCCGCTAGTGGTTGCGCCCGCGCGATGTGGAGATCGCCAGTCGCCGTCGGTTCAGCTCTGTGTCGGGTTAATGTTGGTGCGTTTGGGGCCTTGTACAATCCATGTTGTAGCATCTGAGTAAAGAAAAGACAAAGTTGGAACTAAGGTGATATGCTTGGAAATAGTTTAATTATAGTTTATAATCCTGGTTGCATGGGTAGTGTTTGTTGAGCCAACCTCTATGTACCATTACCAACACCTCGAGGCCACGCTTGGCGTACCCTCCATATTACCTGTATCGTATATCACCTAGATCAGGGTTTGCTGATGGCTTGCCATCTTCCATTCTCCCGCTAGACTCTGGCTGGAACCTTCGAGAACCCATGCACTCGAACAAATGGCTCTGAATGTCTCGTTGTCTCTTGTAGCTTCCACGCGATAATAAATGAGCGCGCTATCTTTGCCCAGCGGAACCACTTCGTCATGGCTGAGGATATATGACTTCCAAGGTCTGAAATCGGGGCCCTGAAGCATCTCGTGAACGGTTGGTGAGGACACGGAGCTTAGGATCATGTCGCCCGGAAATATCATGACGGGATTGCTCGACAAGAGTGGGATAATATCGGAGCCAGAGCTGCAGAGCGCTGCCCAAGCCTTGTGTTCGAGCGAACACACGGCGGCCGTCAGCGAAGGATTTGTGAGCATTGGGGTCGCCATTGCGGAGGTGGAGCACGCTGTAATTCGACTAATCCGGATGCGCGCCGATAAATGGAGTCGATAATTGGGCTTCAAGAAGGGCTGACGTGCAAGTTCGGCCGCGGTAACCGTAATCACACCGTAGATGGGAGCTGGATGCAGGACAGTAGAGTAAATACTTACCCCGCGATGCGGCTGTAACATACTGTGATCACATATCTTGCGTACGTCACAGCTGCGTATTCGTCACTTGGCGCATGTTTGACATGTTCCGAGCGATTTAAATGCTGTCTGAGAGTGAAGTTATACGCTTGATGGCGTGCTTTACCGTGGGCGATGAGCGGTTTCGCCCCGGGGGCTGCGCAGTAGATTCACTGTCGCAGTTGCCTTGGCACATTGAATATGGCGCGACGGCAGCTCTGACAAGCATCAGACCATCTCTTGATAATGCAGAGTCAACCAATTTAGGTTCCGGTTGCGGACTGTACAGTGCTCTACTGGATGTACACGTATGGCGTTTGGTACCGGGTCGGTGAAGGCGGTGGTCGGCTTCAGCACCGCAGAGGCGCGGTTGGCTTCTTTGGGAGCGTACATACGTCACATGTCCGGGGGGGCAGGGGAGGTCCAGGCTCCAGGCGATAACGGTGGGCCCAGCGGGGGGAGAGCTGGAGTCGACGATAGTCCAACGTCGCCACCACCACCACAACACCATGGAACTCGGGCGGCGACGAAAAGAGGCAACAAACAGGTGGCGTTCTAGTGCAGCAAGTGAATTGCCAGGCTGAATAATAGCACATGGACGGCGGCAAAGAATAGGTGATGGGCAGCGCTGCGGCGAGGCGGTGGAAACAGCCGGAATGTTCCCGTGCGCAGTCGCTGATTGGTGCACGGACTCTGGTCGCATCATTACTCGCCCTTTGACCCAGTCACTGCCTCAGCCTGCCTCCATATAAGCCACCTCTCCGCCAGCCCTGCCCTTTCTCTTTCCTTACTCTTACCCTCACCCTACAGCACCAAAAGAAAGGCTGTTTTCAATACACACACAACCCACAACCCATCAAACACAGAAGACAACACGCAACCATGCAGATCTTCGTCAAGACCCGTAAGTAGTAGCCATCGCCACCTTGGCCTTTATCGCGCCTCAGCTGCTAACCAGCTTCGCAGTCACCGGCAAGACCATCACCCTCGAGGTTGAGTCCTCCGACACCATCGACAATGTCAAGGCCAAGATCCAGGACAAGGAGGGCATCCCACCAGACCAGCAGCGCTTGATCTTCGCCGGCAAGCAGCTTGAGGATGGCCGAACCCTTGCCGACTACAACAT